AATGTGCTCAAGAGACATTTTAGTGTCCTTGGATGAGGTTATGGGTTTACCTTCTTTTTAAAAAAAGTCCTCAAATAATTTTATGAAGGTATTCTTTTAGGCTGAATTGAAAACTTTAGTGGATTTACTCTATTTTAAAGGCTTGTTAGACAATATGAAAAAGAACACAGGATTGTTCAATATTCCCATAACCCGTAGTATGCTGTCCTACTAATGGTTAGCCAACAGCCAGCTAACAAAACTGGCAGAAGCAGCATTGTGTTTCATTCCAAAACTGAATTTACTTCCGTGGATAGTTCTGTAAAACTGCAATACAATCATATTAACTAAAATTACAATATGCTTGTTACATGTCTCTCACATATGCATACAAAGAACACATTTCTTCCAAACAGCTACGTACAATCACATTGAATACATTGAAATGCTATCTAGCTATGTATGTGACTTTAACCACTTGTCCTCCAGAGGATTTACCCTCCCTTCCTGACCAGGCCATTTTTTGCGATACGGCGCTGCATTACTTTAACTGACAATTGCTCGGTCATGCAACGCTGCACTCAAATGCACTCAAATGAAATTAATGTCCTTTTTTTCCCCACGAATAGAGCTTTCTTTTGGTGGCTTTTGATCATCTGTGCGTTTTTAATTTTGGCGCTATAAACTAAAAAAACCCGCCAATTTTGAGAAAAACATTTTTTACTTTTTGCTATTAAATATGTAAAAAAAAAAATTTAAAAAACTCTAATTTCCTCATAAATTTAGGCCAAAATGTATTCTGCTAGATCTTTTTGCTAAAACAAATCCCAATATGTGTAAATTAATTGGTTTATGTGAAAGTTATAGCGTTTACAAATGGCGGTATATATACTGGATTTTTTTTCTTTTTTTTTAATACTAATAATGTCGGCGATCAGCAATCTATAGTGGGATTGCGGCGGACGTTCTGACACTGGCGGGAACTGACATGTTGTCACTGGCATCCCCAGTGACACCAATACAGTGATCAGTGCTGATAAAAAGCACTGACATTGTACTAATGGCACTGGGCAGGAAGGGGTTAACATGTGAGGCGATCAAAGGGTAACTGTGTGCTGTTTCACTATGTGGGCTGTGTGTGTGTGCTTCACTGTAAGCACATTGCTTTGTATGGCTCTGCTATGCAGAGCCATACAAAGCAGTGTGCAGAAGCTGACAGGGGAGAGATCTGTGTTGTTTACATACAGGTATCTCCCCCGTCCGTGATTGCCAGATGCCGGCAGGGATTCACCAGCCAGGACCTGGTGATTAATAGCCAAGGCCGCCAATGGCTTTGTGCGCACGTGGGTGGAGTGCACAACGATGATCAATCACAGTGCATAGGAATCTGGCCCTCCCAAAGGCCATATATAGAAACAAGAAAGTTGGATTTCTGCACATAAAAATATGTGCAGCAATTCAACTTTCTTTTATATATACAGTATATATATATATATATGTATATATATGTGTGTGTGTCTGTGTGACACTGCCCGAGGGCTCGGGGTCAGTAGGGGGCCCCATGAGATGCCCCTGGTACCTTTTTCATAGGCTTTTTTGAGTGTGGGCAAGGACACTGGGGCCCCATGATCCCCTAATGCCCGGGGGCCCCATGAATTGTCAGTCCGCCCCTGCTAAGATTCATGATTTTTTTTACCCAAAAATCAGCTTGAAAAAGTGTGAATCTTGGGTGAAAACATTGACATACAAACCCCTTAGAGCCCATTTACAGCTTCACAGCATGGTAGATTTGTTAACTATTGTGTTTAATACAATAATTCTTCCTTCACCCAATGGTTCATTGCCATTTTTTTTTTTGCCTGACGGTTAATTGCCATTTTTTTGGTTATAGGCTCATTGCCATTTTTCTGTCTGTTTCATTTCCTTTTTTTTTTGTCTAATGATTTATTGCCAATTTTTTGGCTAATGGTTTATTGCCAGTTTATGTCTACTGATTCACTGTTTTTTTCTGTCTAATGATTAATTTCCTTTTTTTTGTCCAAAGATTCATTGCCATTTTTTTCCCTAATGGTTTTTGCCATTTTTTCCTAATGGTCCATTGCCATTTTATGTCTAATGATTTATTACTAATTTTTGGGGGGGCTAATGGTTTATTGACATTTTTTGTCTACTTGTTCTGTAATTTTTTTTTGTCTAATGGTTAATTTCCATATTTTTTTGCCCAAAGGTTCTTTTCCATTTTTTTCCTAAAAACGTTTGCCATTTTTGCCTCATAGTCCATTGCCATTTATTGTCTAATAATTTATTGCCATTTTTTGTCTAATGATTTATTTCCATTTTTTGGGCTAATGGTTTATTTCCATTTTTTGTCTAATGATTTATTGCCATTTTTTGGGCTAATGGCTTATTGCCATTTTTGTCTACTGGTTCATTGTTTTTTTTCCCTGTCTAATGGTTAACTTCTTTTTCTTTTTTTTTTGTCCAAAGGTTCATTGCCATTTTTTTCCCTAATAACTTTTGTAATTTTTGCCTAATGGTCCATTGCCATTTATTTGGGCTAATGGTTTATTGCCATTTATGTCTATTGGTTTATTGATTTTCTTTTCTGTCTAATGGTTAACTTCCATTTTTTTTTTCATCCAAAGTTTCATTGCCATTTTTTTCTATAACGGTTCTTTGCCATTTTTGCCTAATAGTCCATTGTCATTTTTCTCCTAATTATTCATTGCCATTATTTTTCTTTTGTCTAATGATTTATTGCCATTTTTTGTCAACTGGTCCATTGATTGCTTTTTTTCTGTCTAATGGTGAATTTCCATTTTTTTTTGTCCGAAGGTGCATTGCCATTTTTTTCCATAACGGTTCTTTGCCATATTTGTCTAAAGGTTTATTGCCATTTTTTGTCTAATGGTTCTTGCCATTTTTTTGTCTAATAGTTTACTGCCATTTTTTTGTCTAAAGGCTCATTGCCGTTTATTTGCTGCATGAACACAATTTTAAAAACCTAATAGTCCAATCAGTTCAACCAATCAAACTTTTCGGTTTCCAGTCCAGTCCTATTTTTCCCATGGAAATAATTGATTATCTGGCATATTTATAAAGCACTGAATGTGACTTTCACCTAACATTCACTTTTGCTGAATCAATCACTGTCATTTTAAACACACGTCCCAAAAAGATTCATCTGCAGTAATCATTTGGTGGATGTCAAATTTACTTCTTTATAAAAAAAAAATAAAAAAAAACTATATTTCAGGTAACACATTTGAAGTTAAATTTGAAAAAAAAAAGATTTTAAGTAGGAGGTAAACAAGAAATAATGAGCATCCTGACATTTACATAAGATTATAATAATACTCATTATTAAGTAGCAGCTAATAAACAAAAATAACATCAATCACAACGAAGCACAAATTATTATAATTGTCTGTCAAGGTAAAGAGAGGACAACATTGCCATGTTTTCATAGGTCAAGCCATGGAAAGATGGTGCCTGTCTAGGAAATGAATTCCAGATATTATTATCTACGAAGTAGTTTATGTATGAACAGCAAAATATAAATAAAATACTTTCAGCCCGGGTTCACGTACATGCGGTGCGGTATATCGCATGTGATTCATATAGGAACCGCACCGCATTCCTGTGCAGATCACATGCGATTTGCGTGCGGTGCGATCGGAGCCATACATTTTGTATGGCTGTATTCGCATCACATCCGCACCAAAAACGTGCAGGACCCTTTTTTTGGTCCACCCTAGAAACGGATCGCATATGTATTCACACCTATGGATCCGAGTCTGCACATCGCACCGCGTTTTGCAGACCGCTGTTAGGGTGTTGTCAACCTAACCCGCGATGACGCCGATGTCCCACAAATATGCGGCCTCACGGAACTGGGCTTTTTTCTGTGGGGCTGCATATTTGCATACCTGTCTTCGTGCTGGGAGTGCGCCGCACAGCACGCTCCCAGCACAAAGACCAGGTATCACTGAGAGCACCGGATCCCGTTCTAACTATCAGGACCCGGGACTCCCAATTCTGGGTCACATGATCGCTGTGATAGCCTCTGATTGGCTATCACAATGATCAGTCACTGTACAGCCCGGCCCCCTTTTTTTTTCTCTCTATGAATGGAGGAGAGAGATACATTGTATCTCTCTAACTCCTGGCATAGAGGGGGGAAAAAATGTTTGTTAAAAAAAAAAGATAAATAAATAGATATTAAAAAATAAAATAAAAAATAAAGAAAAAATACCTAGATCAAGGTTTGATCTAGCTCAGTGCCAGGGTAAGTGTTTGGGTCAAGGTCAGGGTCAAAGGTCAGAGTCAAAGGTCAGGATTTTTTTTTTTATAAATTAATATTAGTGTCAGTGTGTTTTAGGAAAAAAAAAAAAAAAAAAAAGCGCACTATTGTTTCTGAGCTGTACTACGGGTACAAAAACAAATAACATACACATATATGGTATCGCTGCAATCGTCAAGAGCTGGATAATTTATTTTGGGTTGTTTCTGTGGTGGTAGGGTATGGTAGTAACAAGAATCACACAGCTAAATTAAAAAAAATATTTTTTTTTACTATTTTGAGCCAGTTTTCCTTTGATAATAAAAAAAAAAAAAAACAGAAGATATTCATTACCATTTACCACCAAATGAAAGCCCAATTTGTCCTGAAAAAAAACACAGTATAATTCATTGGGATGTACAAAGTAGTTGTGATGATATGTACGGTTTTACTAACACATGTCAACATTGCAAAATTGTGCTTAGGCGTTAAGATTTGTTTTACCCTTAGGCGTGAAGGGGTTAATGTACACACCCGCAGTGGTTCACATGGACTGGGTGTGATTCTGATGTGGTGCGGAATTCGCACTGAAAGCGTTGCAAATTCCGCTCTGCATCAGTGTGAACCAGGGCTTAACCCGAATGTAGCACAGGGGATAATAGAACTGAGATTGTATTGCTAACACAAAATCACAAGGGCAAGTGTAGTGGGAAGATGTCTTAAAAGATATATTGCATTCTACACAGAAATGGCAGCTACAGAATGCCTACTCCTAATGTGTGCCGAACAGGGGCGGACTGACAACTCATGGGGCCACCGGGCAATAGGGGATCATGGGGCCCCTGTGTCCTTGCCCGCACTCAAATTACACCCAAAAAAGCCTATAAAAAGGTACAAGGGGCATTTCATGGGGTCCCCTACTGACCCCTGGGCCCTCGGGCAGTGCCCGAGTGCTTGAATGGTCAGTTCTCCCCTGGTGCCGAAGAATTCTGATAATGTGTCAGATTTCACAGAAATCTTTATGAAGTCACTGGAAAGTACATGTTATGTATGGCCCTTCCTTTATTCTCAGATATTAAGGCCCCAGGTCAGGAATGCTGCAAATGGACCTATGGTCAGGAATACAATACAATATGGTGGAAGGTAATCCAACTACAGATGATTTTGGCTGGTAAAGGATTGGCACGCGTGTACCACGTATACGGCACATTATATATTCTTGCATGAAGAGTGAAGTGTGAGGATCATCACAAATTATCGTATTACTATTATTATATCATTTTGGACTTTTTGAATTGATTATTTGTTCACTAATTTTGTGCACCAGTATACATATAGTTTCACAATGTGCAAATAGGAGTGTGTTTGTCACTTTTTTCACTAAACATTCCCCGTGAGGGAATTCACGTATGACACAACTATTTTATTATTTATGTATTGATTTATCACCTTGGATATATATATGTAGGGGATGTATATAGAGTTTGTGCATTTTAACACGTAATTTGTTAGTATTATTAGCGCTACACTATTTATTTTAATAGATGATTACTTGTCCTTTCCAAGAAGAAGCAAGTTTGGCACCAACACCTGCCCAATCGTGGTCCCCCTTACAAAACTAAGAACTGTTCGCTGACAGGGTATCTTTACTTAGTTTCTAAATACCCTGACTGGGCCACTTTATGTCCTATTTGGAAAAAAGAAGAACTCCTTTTCCAGCTTTCCAGACATTCCATCTGAATTTGCTTAAATTTTATAATGTAGCCAGTTCCTTTATTAGTTTTTCTTTCAGCTCTGTACAAGAGTCTCCAGGACATCATTAGCGGGCAGATGAGATAAGACGACTGCTCATTGTATTTTACAGTAATAACCTGCAGGAAAGAGGTGCTGCACTCTCCCGGCCAGATAGGCTATTTGTCATCAGCTAAATACTTTGTATTTCTTAGCAGATGATAATGATCCCCTGGAAACTGCTGGTTGTATCAGAGCATAAATCTTTAGCATTCCTTTGTTACAAAAACAATATACCCTTTATATGTGCTTTTCATTAATTGCAAACATTTCTTTTGAATTAGCATTACTATACAGCTCTGGAATAATTAAAGCTGAACTCCAGGCCATTAGCTAAACACATAGTTGAAATAAAATAAAATAACCTCCTAAATAAATTCCCACCAAAAAGTCAAACTTTCTCCCCCGAAAGTATAATATAGTGAATATACCTTTTTGTATAAACCAAATAAAATCCCACTAGTGAATAAAATTGATAAATAAAATTAAAATAAAATTACAATATATAAACCATAAAGTGTCCAAGCAAATTGTAATCTCAAAATGTGTCCAATAAAGTCCAAAGTCCAAAACTCAATCCAGTAGGAAGGATTAAAATCCTATTTGATCAACGAGGTTTTTTTCTCAACAGCAGTTAAGGAATACAGCCCCCACCCTCAGCCTGTGATTGGACAGTGAAGAAGCAGCGGTAGAAGGATGAGCTAAACTCTCTGCTCTGCTTTCTCCTCCTGTCATCATGTGTTTGCAACACACCTGGTTGACCCAAATGCTGCCTCTCCCTTTCATAGTCCTATTACTGCTTTACTAAGGAGCTGGTATTTAGCTTAACATGATTATAAAGTTTTTTTTTTTTAAATAACAAACATGTCTATATTTACCTGATGATCTGGCCAGTAATACACCTCCTGTATTAGTGAGACACCACTTTGGAGGAATGAGTACAGGACACAGCAGACAGTAGCATTGCCAGTCTGGGGGGGATGGGAGTGGTAAATGCATTAGCAGATATAAATACAATAATGAATCTAAATCATAAGAAAAGGATGACCATTTTAATCACCCTGACAGTGTTGAATGACCTTGATCATGTAAACTGATACACTCTGCTGGAGAATGTGAGATTCTGAAACACAGCAGACTTGCTGGTTGAATTACTAGATAGAAAAAAAAAGAAGAAAGCCTAAAAAAAAATAAACTAATGCAGCCATCACATCTAAAAATTGGTAAGTGGCAATATAATAAATATTTGCTTTTGGGTTTAATAAAACTTTAATAAATACATAATTGCATTAGGTGATGTTTTTAAGGCTAGCCTGGACATACTGTAACCAGGGGCAAACTGACAACTCATGGGGCCCCCGGGCAATAGGGGATCATAGGGCCACTGTGTCCTTGCCCAAACTCAAAAAAGCCTATGAAAAAGGTACCAGGGGCATCTCATGGGCCCCCTACTAACCCCGGGCCCTCGGGCAGTGCCCGAGTTTCCAAATGGTCAGTCTGCCCCTGACTGTAACGGCTCTGAGGAAGAGGTTCTGCTTCAAAACACGTCAGCCATTTGGAGGCCGACAGTCCCCCAACAGTCACCATCTAGGGAGATTGGACCATGCTGTCTTTTTTGTGATATGCCTTTGATTTTATTCTTTTGTGAGTATACGACTTTTTATTCAATAAATCTTGTTTCTAGAAGGTAATGCACTAGGCCCATGCGCCCTCTGTTTGTTTCTTTGCACATGGTATTCAATTTATGGTCTGAGGCTCTGTCTGATGTTTACTTTTTTTTTTTGTTGATTTATATTTCTTTTACACAGTGAGTCAAGGGTTAGTTATGGTGCAGCACCAGGGGCGGACTGACAACTCATGGGGCCCCAAGGCAATAGGGTATCCTTGCCCAAACTCAAAAAACCCTGTGAAAAAGGTACCAGGGGCATCTCGTGGGGCCCCCTACTGACCCCGGGCCCTCGGGCAGCGCCCAAGTTTCCAAATGGTCAGTCCGCCCCTCTGCAGCACTATCTATCTATTTTAATTTATTTAATGCTAGGGGGTTACTGACTGTAGAAAAAACTGCCAAAAGCCAAAAACAGCAGCCGTAAAAACGTCCAGCGAATGAGGCCTAAAAATAATTTTTTGGCTGGAGTTACATTTAAACAAAAAGTACCTGTTCCAACTTGCATACAAATTCAACTTACAAACAAACCTATCTTTTTTGGAACCGGGGACTGCCTGTATTTAGCTCTTTTGCCCATAAGTCAGTTTTTAACAAACCAACATCAACATTTTAGCACAAAACAGATGTAGGGCTTGTTGGAGGAAAACTAACCCACTCAAGCAAAACAAACATGGCTATATACTGACGACATACAAAACATGGCTACATGATAAATACTTCTGCCATATGGAGACTATAACCATAGAGAATGTATGTGGAAAAGAAAAAAGGAAAAAAGGGATTTAATGTAAAAAAAAAAAAAAAAAGAAGTAAAAGGAAATAAGAAACAAAAGCCTTGTAACGTTCCGAGTCTGTCTCACTGTAAATGATTATATAATAGCCTGATTCAAATAGGATATCAGATGATAAGGCATCTTAAACAAGCGAGAGAGGATGTACTTGTATAATCAAAACAGCTCGGCGGGAATTCTTCAAGGTAACATCAATCAGCAATTTTGCTTCTGCAGGTGGGAATGAATTGAGTAATGGCTTCCATCTATACATGAATGAAGTGTTATCATTTAAAGATTGATTCCCATGGTATACAGTTTCAATTTTATGTAACTCTATTAACTGAGCTTTTATATTAGAAATAAGGGGGCAAGTATCTTTTGATCTAGTTAAGTCATATTAACCTTTTACTTATAATAAGGGTTTACCGGTTTGAAGTATGATCATAACCGAGCAAAAGCCTAGAGAAAAAAAGGGTCTTAGGCAACAGAAAAATATAAGTTATGATATTTTCCCTCAATGCACATGGTCATGAACAAAGAAGTGCTGCAAAGAGTTCATGAAGCCATGAAATCAATGAAAACCATAGGAAGGACAACTGAAGAGAAAAATCCCAACTTTATGGCCATATTGCAAAAAAAACTCAGCAGGAGAAAAGTTATGTAAGATTAGCCCTCATGGTATACAGTTTAAATTTTATGTAACTCTATTGACTGAGCTTTTATATTAGAAATAGAGGGCAAGCATTTTTTTATCTAGTTAAGTCATATTAACCTTTTACTTATAATAAGGGTTTGTTGTATTAAAGTATGATCACAACAGAGCAAAACCTAGAGAAAAAGAGAGTCACAGGCAAAAGAAAAATACAGCATGTCAATGGACATGGTCTTGAATGAAGAAAAGAGCCCATGAAGTCAATGAAAACCTTATCTGTTGAAAGGACTATTGAAGAGAAAATGCCAGCTTTGTGGCCGTATCGCAAAAAACTCAGCAGGAGAAAAGTTATGTAAGATTAGCCCTCATGGAATACAGTTTAAATTTTATGTAACTCTATTGACTGAACTTTTATATTAGAAATAGAGGGCAAGCATTTTTTTATCTAGTTAAGTCATATTAACCTTTTACTTATAATAAGGGTTTGTCATATTAAAGTATGATCACAACAGAGCAAAACTTAGAGAAAAAGAGAGTCACAGGCAAAAGAAAAATACAGCATGTCAATGTACATGGTCTTGAATGAAGAAAAGAGCCCATGAAGTCAATGAAAACCATATCTGTTGAAAGGACTATTGAAGAGAAAATGCCAGCTTTGTGGCTATATTGCAAAAAACTTAGCAGGAGAAAAGTTATGCAAGAATAACCCCTTTTTTTACTAATGAAACCATCCAGCTCCTCATTCACTTCCTTGTTATCTCTTGCCTTGATTATTGCAACTCCCTTCTCATAGGCCTACCTCTCCGTAGGCTATCCCCTCTTCAATCTTCATGAATGCTGCTATCATACTCATCCACCATACCAACTGCTCAATATCTGAGACCCTTCTCTTACAATCCCTGCTTTGGCTTCCAATTGCCCAGCAAATTAAATTTAAAATACTAAAAATAACCTACAAAGCCATTCACAACTCTGCCCTGAGCTACATCACCAATCTTATCTCAAAATATCACTCAAACCATCCTCTCCGCTTCTCCCAAGATCTGCTCACTAGCTGTGTTGTCTCTTCCTTCCATGCTCATCTCCAGGACTTCTGTTAGGGATCCGGGTATGACCAGAAATGTGTGGACTGACACAGGGAAGTAGCAGGCTTCAGGAAGACAGGCTGGAGAGGTGGAATGGTCAGGCAGGCCGTAAAGTACCGTCAGACACCGCCCGGCGGGATCTCTAGTGACCCACAGAACAGGATTCCCCAGAGCGCGGAGTCTAAGCCCCAGTCTGCCTTTTCACCAGAGCCCCTGATGGTGGGGATGGACTTGGCGCAGGACTGAGACCAGGTCGCGGCCCCTGAATGCACCCAACTGTGGTAGAGGGGTCCGCCGAGGGTATGTAGCGGGGAAAGCCTGATGTGAAGGGGCTGGCAGGTTTGTACAGTAGTGACTGGATCCGTGCAGGATGGATGGATCGTCTGGGTAGCATCAGGCATAGTCAGGCAAGCCAGGTGAGCAACGTGCGGGCAGTGAGGTACTGGAGGAGCAGGCATAGAATAGTCAGGGTCACACGCTGGGTTCAGTAACTCACGGGCAGCACGGTACAGAGGATCAGGCAGAAGGATGGTCAGGCAAGCCAGGGGTTCAACAGGAGACGGTGAGCAGAGGTCAGGATCAAAGCAGGGTCAGCAACTAGGCAGGAACACAGAATACCAGGTACAGGGGCTCATGGGAAACATACACCAAGGCACTGATCACAGGCCTGGTCATTCCTTAAATACACCTCCTGCAATCAGCCCCAGGTGTTGGCTGACTGCAGGAGTGAGCTTCTGACTGCTGAGAGCACCCGCTGGTCAGCCCTGGTACTGCAGCCCACACGGCAGGTGAGTCCCACCACCAGTGCTGAGTCCATTCCTGACAACTTCTCTAGAGCTTCTCCCATCCTCTGGAACTCTCTACTTAAATCTGTCCAGCTATCTCCTACTCCGGCTACCTTTAGGCAATCCCTGAAAACAAATTTCTTCAGGTAATTCTATCTTGCCTCCACCTAACAACTGAACTTTTAATTCTTCCATCAGCTCCTCCCTCGTAGATATTGCCTTTTGTACCACTTGCCTCACCCTATGCTATTAAGGGTATTTTCCCCTAATGCACATGGTCATGAATCCAGAAGTGCTTTAAAGAGTCCAAGAAGCCTTGAAGTCAATGAGCACTTGTCAAGGTGTGAGGTCAGGTTCAGAGACCAATTGCTACAGCAGTTGTAAGGCTTACCTGAAACCAGCAGGATTGGTACACCAGTGTGTCACCCTGGGAATGACGCAGGCTCATCTGAGGTGTGGGGTCTAAGTATCCACCAATCTTCCCCAGAGCTACTAATGGTGGAGATGGATTTGGCTGCGTGTGAATACCAGGTCACAGTCTCAGGATCACCCCACCAGGGAAAGGGCAAGCTGGAAACTAAGAGCGGATCAAACAGTTTAGGGATAAGACAAAAGCAAAGTCAGTCACAAGCCAAAAGTCCAAGCCAAGGAGTCCAAGAAGCCTTGAAGTCAATGAGCACTTGTCAAGATGTGAGGTCAGGTTCAGAGACCAATTGCTACAGCAGTTGTAAGGCTTACCTGAAACCAGCAGGATTGGTACACCAGCGTGTCCCCCTGGGAATGTCGCAGGCTCTCCTGAGGTGCGGGGTCTAAGTATCCTCCGAGCTCCTAATGGTGGAGATGGATTTGGCTGCGTGTGAATACCAGGTCAAAGTCCCAGGATCACCCCACCAGGGAAAGGGCAAGCTGGAAACCAAGAGCGGATCAAACAGTTTAGGGATAAGACAAAAGCGAAGTCAGTCACAAGCCAAAAGCCGGTCACAATTGATATAGACAGCAACAGTAAGGATGAGCGGGATATTGGCTGGAAGGCACAATAATCTGGCAAGGAGGAAGTGCGTGGACATGGCTTTTATAGGAAGTTTATGGGAGGAGCAAGGAGTTCAAGGTTCAAGAGAAAACAAGACACAAGGCAGGATTATCCAATAGATCAGGCAGAGTATAGTCCAGCATCCTAGGTAGCTCAGTGAGAAGAAACATTGCCTCTCACCACAGAAGGCCCAAGCTCTGACAGCACTTGGCAGAAGAAAAATTTTAGCTTTCAATAAAGTGGGGGAGGATTAGAACTCCTTTACCACAATCAAGGGATCTGTTAGAGAGATTTAACACCACTTCCTGTCCTGCTGACAATGGTTTCAGCAGACAGGAAATGAAGGTACATTTTTTAAGTGGAGTAGGGGAAGGTTAGATGTTGCTGTTTGGAGAGTCTACCTTTTTTCTAGTCTGGTGAGAAGAATTACTAGAATCTTGATATCCGCAAAGCTCAAAAGGGGTTCTAAACCTTCCTGACTCTATCAAAAAAAGGTTTGTTTGGATAAACACTTTAGGTAGGATACATTAAAGAAGCAGTGTCCTTGCATATCCACTTCCCATGAGCCATGGAGTGTGATTGCCAATATTTAGAGCATAGAAATGACCCTTGGCTTCTTGTATGGATACTCCAACAGTGAAATCTACCTATTCATCTAGGAGCAGTGATGGGCTTGAACATTGGCCATTCGTGTTTTGGCGAACATACTATGTCGGCGAGTCGGGCTTGTTGTGACAACGCTGGACGCCATGATTAATGATGGATTACAACGATGGAACCATTTTTTTGGCTTTTTTTAATAAACGACTTGTCAAAAACTGTTGTGTTTTTTATTCACATTTTACACTTTTTTGGTGAATGGGTAGGGGTACTATGCACCCCATACTCATTCACAAGGGGAGGGATCTGGGATACCAGATTCTGATAAGTCACCCCCCACAGACCCCCACAATCACAGCCCAGGGCTGTAGGGAAGAGGCCCTTGTCCCCATCAACATGCCCCCCCCCACCCCAAAGCACCTCCCTCGTGTTGAGGGCATATGATCTGCTACAATTCGGGGGGTCTTGTTTGTCCCCCCCATTCCTGACCTGTCAGGCCTGTGCTCGGATCAAGGGTCTGGTAGAAATTTAGGGGAGACCATGCTTTTTCCCCCCCCATTATTTGGGGGTGGGGTTCCCTTAAAGTCCTACCAGGCCTAAAGGGCCTGGTATGGCTTTTACAGGGAACCCCACACACTTAAAAAAAAATACTGTAGGGTCACTCCTAACCTTCCTACCAGATCTAAAGGGCCTGGTAAGGATTGGGGGGGGCCCAGGCTGTTTTTTTTTAATAAAAATGTAATTTAAAAGAATAAATGTCAGCCCTGCTGCATCAGGTTCTATACGTTGTACAGATGTGCAACTTTTCAGGTAGTTTAAGGGGACCCCAGGCATGATAGTTAAAGGAATTTTTCTTTTTTTCTCTATTTTAAGCAATGAAATATGACTCCCTCTTTAAAAACTGTACTTTTTGAAAAAAACATTTTCACTGATTCATGTCCCTCAGGGCAGTACCCGAGTCCCCATACCACATTTATGGCCAATACGTTGCATACAAGCCTTTAAAATGAGCACTTTTGAATTTACAAGTTCGAGTCCCATAGATTTGCATTATGTTCGAAGTTCGCGGTCAAACTTTCACTAGGTTTGAATGTTCGACCGCAAACCAAACAGGCAGGTATTCGGCTCATCACTACCTATAAGTTTTGGGTCACTGTCCCTATTTACTGCCCCAACATTTTTTATGGGCTTGTCCAACATTCATCATTCCCTAGATAAAATGTTGAGGCTTTTACTTTGCGATTGCCCTTATTTTCATCCCTTCCGGCATCAAACCCTATAATTCCTGGATGGAATGTGTAGACGTCAGAGCCTAATTTACTCCCTCGTGTCTCTATTTCACGGTTGTCAAACAATAAATTAACATTTTTAATACAGTTGATTAAAAGATTGAATTGAAATGGAACTCAAATGGGAAAAAAAAACGGGACAATTGTGCCATAAGTGAACTGGTTTTTGATTGTGGGTGTTTGGAGCCCATTTCCTTGCAGCAAATTGATTTTTTTTTTTTTACTTCAATTGTTTTGCAATTACGTCGAAAAATGGAATTAAACTTTTAAACTTTTAATCAGTCTATCAAAATGACACATGTATTGTCAGCTTTAGGCTATACTATCTCCTGCTGGGCTCAGTGTAAATAAAAGCCATTAATAAAACTGTCATGTGTGCTATAAGGATTACAAACGTGAAAACTAAAGGCTTTGTTAGTTCATAGCATCAGCCCTAGGTTCAGGCAGGAGACAGGTCAGCCTTTATGGTGGCCTAACAGCCTGACACTGGGATGGCATTTTTACTGTGACAGGAGGAGAATACAAGTGAATAAGAGCACACAAATCTATCCCTTATACTGTATGTAAGTCCTCATGAACTCACCTAGTCGCTAAACTCTCCTGGCAGCAGAAAACCGCTAAACGCGGTAAAAATGTGTGTAAGCGCAGTACCGCGTTTAGCGCTTGGATGTTTATTCATTTGATTGGCCAGAGTATTTTCCTTTGACACAGATAAATGCCCAAACACTAAGCACGGCTAGCGTTTAGATGCATTTAGCTGCGTTTAGACCAGGGGTGGACTGACCATTTGGAAACTTGGGCACTGCCAGAGGGCCCGGGGTCAGTAGGAGGCCCCATGAGATGCCCCTGGTACCTTTTTCATAGGCTTTTTTGAGTTTGGGCAAGGACACAGGGGCCCCATGATCCCCTATTGCCCGGGGGCCCCATGAGTTGTCAGTCCGCCCCTGGTTTAGACACGTTTTTTGTGGAGTTTAGTGTTTTTGACTAAAACATTCCTCTCCTGAACGCAATTATTCTGCGTTCAGAAGAGGAACGTTTAACTGCTGCTCCTAAACTCTGGTAAAAGCCTATGTATGTATGGACATATAGAATTTTATTGAATTGAGTTCAGGAGTTTAAGGGCAGTTAAACTTTCCTCTTCTGAACGCAGAATAATCGCCGAGGGATCCCGGAGCAATGCTGCATGGTATTCCTGAATGTAGCTCGGGGTTACCGCTTGTGGTACTGAAACTTTACCCCGAGCTACACTCGGGAATACCGCCAGGGAGGTTAATAGGAATGCAGAGTGACTGGCAGGGACATCTGGGATTTCAAACAAAGGAATCAATAAAGAAAACAGGATACTTTTCATAAAAGTACATGGTACAGCAGGCACATATCAGGAATTTGACATGGGCTGGTATATTCTTTAAAGTGGTGGTAAACGCTTACATATACCCTATGAAGTGACTGTGTAGTTGTACCTGTTTATTTACAGAATTCCCTACTACTTCTCTATTCCGTTCAAAGTGCTGAATTCATAAAGCTTGTCCGAGAGCTCAGAAAAATGGGTCCGGAGAGCTGAAATTACACTTGCAGAGATCAGTGAGGAGAGCTCTGGGAGCTGATTGGAGGGAAGGGTCACACCCCCCTCCCAACAACACACAGGAACAGAGCTGAGGCTTTTCATCAGCTGGAGCTCCCTCCCCTGTCACCATTTTTGTCTTGGTGTCAGGAAAACTTGTCAAAAGTGACTCATGCTGATAGCAGAGGAATGAGACAGCAGACAAAATTGACACTTAGGGGTTGATTTACTAGAACTGGAGAGTACAAAATCTGGTGCAGCTGTGCATAGAAACCAATCAGCTTCCAGGTTTTATTGTCAAAGCTTAATTGAACAAGCTGAAGTTAGAAGCTGATTGGCTGCCATGCACAGCTGCACCAAATGTTGCACTCTGCACTTTTAGTAAACTAACTTAATTGAAACAAGTACACAAAATAGAAGGGTATATGTTGTTCATATTTCATCTCTGAGGTTTACAACCACTTTAACAACCTAAGAATGGAACTATTTAGTTTCTTAAAAATGCTAATTTTTTACTAGTTCTCTTTATGGTTACTGGTAAAGTGTTTCTAGACCCACAACAGTACAATCAGTCTGTATATGCAGTAAAGCATGAATGTTATACTCACTGTGGAACCTAAGGGGTTAATCCTCTGCTTTGTGTAAAAATGCTGTTTGATCCTGACTTCTCTGATCCTCCCCTTCTTCCTCTTATCTCCTTTGAAGACATTTTGCGTGGAGGCACCTGCTCAGTTTGGCACGTTGTGCTAGAGAGGTTTTTTTCTGTTCTTGGGAGAGTGCATGTGATCAGCACAGGGCCAATCAGCACTGTCCAGGCAGAGGTCAGGGGTTCTGCATCCTCCTAGAGCAGAAAGAAAACTCCTCCTACAAGTTTTAACCAGTGCTCTGCTGGACACTGATAGAAGTCACAAGACTGCTCTATCTGCTGATGCGAAAAAGGTATTTAGCAGTTTATATTTATTAAAATAATTACATTTCCATGTTCTGTGTACTGTGGGAGACCGGATATAGTGAATGTAGGGTCCGGGGAGAGCAGATACAGTGAATGCAGAGTCTGGGGAGACCGGATATAGTGAATGCAGGGTCTGGGGAGACCATATATAGTGGGTGCAGGGTCCTGGGAGACCAGATATAGTGAATGCAGGGTCCTGGGAGACCAGATATAGTGAATGCAGGGTCCTGGGAGAGCGGATATAGTGAATGCAGGGTCCGGGGAGACCAGATATAGTGAATGCAGGGTCCGGGGAGACCAGATATAATGAATGCAGGGTCCAGGGAAACCAAATATAATGAATGCAGGGTCCAGGGAGACCAGATATAGTGAATGTAGGGTCCTGGGAGACCAGATATAGTGAATGCAGGGTCCTGGGAGACCAGATATAGTGAATGCAGGGTCCTGGGAGACCAAATATAGTGAATACAGGGTCCTGGGAGACCATGTATAGTGAATGCAGGGTTCGGGGAGACCAGATATAGTGAATGCAGGGTCCTGGGAGACCAGATATAGTGAATGCAGGGTCCGGGGAGACCAGATATAGTGAATGCAGGGTCCAGGGAGACCGGATATAGTGAATGCAGGGTCCTGGGAGACCAGATATAGTGAATGCAGGGTCCGAGGAGACCAGATATAGTGAATTCAGGGTCCTGGGAGACCAGATATAGTGAATATAGGGTCCTGGGAGACCAGATATAGTGAATATAGGGTCCTGGGAGACCGGATATAGTGAATATAGGGTCCAGGGAGACAGGATATAGTGAATGCAGGGTCCTGGGAGACCAGATATAGTGAATATAGGGTCCTGGGAGACCAGATATAGTGAATATAGGGTCCTGGGAGACCAGATATAATGAATATAGGGTCCAGGGAGACCGGATATAGTGAATGCAGGGTCCAGGGAGACCGGATATAGTGAATGCAGGGTCCTGGGAGACCAGATATAGTGAATGCAGGGTCCGAGGAGACCAGATATAGTGAATTCAGGGTCCTGGGAGACCAGATATAGTGAATATAGGGTCCTGGGAGACCAGATATAGTGAATATAGGGTCCTGGGAGACCGGATATAGTGAATATAGGGTCCAGGGAGACAGGATATAGTGAATGCAGGGTCCTGGGAGACCAGATATAGTGAATATAGGGTCCTGGGAGACCAGATATAGTGAATATAGGGTCCTGGGAGACCAGATATAATGAATATAGGGTCCAGGGAGACCAGATATAGTGAATGCAGGGTCCTGGGAGACCAGATATAGTGAATGCAGGGTCCTGGGGAACCAAATATAGTGAATGCAGGGTCCTGGGAGACCATGTATAGTGAATGCAGGGTTCGGGGAGACCAGATATAGTGAATGCAGGGTCCTGGGAGACCAGATATAGTGAATGCAGGGTCCGGGGAGACCAGATATAGTGAATGCAGGGTCCGGGGAGACCGGATATAGTGAATGCAGGGTCCTGGGAGACCAGATATAGTGAATGCAGGGTCCGAGGAGACCAGATATAGTGAATTCAGGGTCCTGGGAGACCAGATATAGTGAATATAGGGTCCTGGGAGACCAGATATAGTGAATATAGGGTCCTGGGAGAGCAGATATAGTGAATGCAGGGTCCTGGGAGACCAGATATAGTGAATATAGGGTCCTGGGAGACCAGATATAGTGAATATAGGGTCCAGGGAGACCGGATATAGTGAATGCAGGGTCCGGGGAGACCAGATATAGTGAATGCAGGGTCCTGGGAGACCAGATATAGTGAATATAGGGTCCTGGGTTTAGTAACACTTTACCTAAAAAAAAAGCGTTGCTTATCAGTAAGCATTATCCCTACTTCTTTTATGTCTTGTCTGAGTTTCTTTGCATAAACCTTAATCTAGCTTCTGATCATTTATGATCTCTAAAATAAACCCAAATCAGAAATTACAATATTAAAATTACAAGTATTAGAAAAACTAATACTGTGTAGGATGTCAATTCAATTAGCATTTAATGAGCTTTGTTTTCCTGTGTTCTATCCTAATACATTCCAACTAGGAATCTAAACATAAAGCGACAAATGGAATAAAAATTCTTCAAACAATACTGCAACATTTCCCTCCCCTATAATAAATGATAAAGGCCCAGAAAAACATACAACGGTGTGAACCTGGCCTGCATTTGCATTAAAACCTTTTCAAGAGATATTTCTTTCTGTGAAAAAAAAAAAAGGTAAAGACTAAGAGATCATTTTATATAACCTCCTCTAACTGTATAGCAGATATGTATCAGAAAATTGGCCCAATTATGGGTCAGGTCAGGTTTATATTAAGGGAGCACTAATGGAACAAAAACTACCATTTTGCAATCACGTGGAATAGGCTATTGCAGTAAAGCTCACACATGACATCTACTTATTCCTAACATACAGAGGAGGAATATGCATGCTCTCTTTCACTTTCTATTTTTTTAGATCTTTCCACATTTGTCAGTATATAGTTGAAAAAAGATAATTTTTTTTCAGTGTATTAAATACAAGTTTTTGCATGTCTTTAACCACTTGACAATTGGGCTATAGCCAAATGACGGTTACAGAATGGTCATTCAGTTCTGGGAGAGCATCATATGATGTCCTTCCGGAACTGTGCCTCCCGTGCACCTCCTGGGGTGCGCACACAGCGCACTCTGTGATGGCTGTGTCCGTCGGACACAGCTGATCACAGATCACGGTAAAGGGCTAATCACAGTGGCCCTTTACCACATGATCAGCTGTGTCCAATGACACAGCTGATCACATTGTAAACACAGTTGCCAGTTATCTGCTGCGCTTTCCTCAGAGAGGAGAGCCAGTAACCAGCAACTGTGAAAGAGGACATCAGAGCAGCCCCAAGCGGCATCACTGCAGCCCCAACAGTGTCCATCAGTGCTGCCAGTCAGTGTCCAACAGTGCCGCCATTCAGTGTCCATCAATGCTGCCAATCAGTGTCTATCAGTGCCAACAGTCAGCGCCCATCAATGCTGCCAGTCAGTGCCTAACAGTGACCTTCAGTGCCGCCTATCATTGCCCATCGGTGCCACATATCAGTGCGGCCTCATCGGTGCCTCCTTGTCAGTGCCCATCAGTACACCCTATCAGTGCCCATCAGTGCTGCCTCATCAGTGCCTCCTCATCAGGCACCTGTTTGCAAAATGTTTTAACAGAAAGGGAAAAAAAAAGTGAACATTTTTGGCCGTTTTTTTGTTTGCTTAGCAAAAATTAAAAAGCCCAGTGATTATTAAATACCACCGAAAGAAAGCTCTATCTGTCTCTAAAAAAATATAAAAATTTTGTTTTGGTGCAGTGTTGCATTACTGTGCAATTTTCATTCAAAGTGCAACAGCACTGAAAGCTGAAAACTAGCCTGGCCAGGAAGGGGTGAAAGTGTCCAGTACGCAAGTGGTAAAAAAGCAGTATTATCATCCCACCTGTGGATAGGGATCAGGACATATCAGGATCCCATGGGGCAGGGCGGGTTAGCACTTCCAGACCTATATAACCTTGGTGTCCAATTATTTTTAGCTCACAGATGGCTGATAGCCAATGACGCCGCTACGGTGTTGGAGGCGGTGATTGTGGGATCATATGAAACCTTGAAGTTTTTGCTCTACAGGGGGCCTCAGGTCTGGACCGATGAAAACAACATTGCGGGCATGGGGGAGTGGCCCATAGGTTGTTCCCAGAGAGCAACACTGGCCTGTCACCCTATTCTCCTCTATGGATGAGCCCCTGCTATCCCCACCTGATGGGCTTACCTGATCCGGCAGTATGGGTGGATAAGGGAATTAAGACTTTGGGTGATGTCATTTCTCTAAATTAATTACTGACATTTAATCAGCTTCAGGAGAAATTTGCCATACCAAATTGGTACCTTTTTTAATATTTGTAACTAAGACACACCTTTATTACACAGTTTGTCTCATCTGCTCTGGCGACTCAGCCCTCCTCTCTTGAAAGTTTGTTAAAAAGACGTAGATCTGAAACATAAAGAGTTGTTCCCTATCAGACACCTTGCAATTGTGAGATGTAAACCAAAGTGGGAAGCAGATAGCTCTGATTTACAGGGGCAGAAGTGGGGTGACATGTGGGACTACCCATTCCAGCACCTAGTCTTTGCTAGGACTAGATTAATACAGTTTAAATTTCCCCATGGCATCTACTACATGCTGGCTAGACTATCGAGCATTTATGGGTCCTCCACAGCTAAGTGTTGGAGATGTACCTTCTTTCCGGCAGACTTTTCTCATTATTTTGTCTTTGCCCAGTTAATTAGCAGTTTTGGCAAGAGATTACACAATATATTGGAGTGCAAAACAGCAGCTGAACACAGCCCCCTGATCATGTCCTTTCTGCTGTTATGTGATCTCCACCTTAATGTTTCTCCATGCTATGCACTGACTTTCTGCAAACGTAAGGTAAATGCTGTTATGTGATCTCCACCCTAAACTGTCTCCCTGCTATGCACTGACTTTCTGAAAACTTAGGGTAAATGCTGTTATGTGATCTCCACCTTAAACTTTCTCCTTGATATGCACTGACTTTCTGCAAAACTCGGGATAATTAGTCCTTTATCTTTTTGTCTGTGGTGATTGATTCTCACCTGCTTTGCCTTTCTGTGATCAGAGAATCAATCATCTTTTATGACTTTGGCCTGTGTCTGTAGATAGTCTAGTTTTAACCAACCTCCCCTCAAATTCATGTGATCCTTATCAGTGCCTAATTGGGGCGGAGAAAAGTTGCTCATTTGATCATCTCCCTATAAATTTAGACCAGCTTATGGGGAAGGTCACAGATGGGGGGTACAGTCGCAGACGGGGGGCATTGTCCTGCATGAGTGCATTTTCTGCTGGAGTGCAAAACAGCAATTGAACACAGCAGTTGCATTTTCTGCTGGAGTGCAAAACAGCAGTTGAGCACAGCAATTGCATTTTCTGCTGGAGTGAAAAACAGCAGTTGAACACAGCAATTGCATTTTCTGCTGGAGTGCAAAACAGAAATTGAACACAGCAATTGCATTTTCTGCTGGCGTGCAAAACAGAAATTGAACACAGCAGCTACATTTTCTGCTGGAGTGCAAAACAGCAGTTGAACACAGCAGTTTAACTAAAGCAGGATAACTCAAGCAGTAGGAAGATACAACAAAGAACTCTACTGCACGCTGGATGGACTGCAAGTAAACACCCTGGGAAATATCTCCTACAAGTTTGATTCCCACTCCAACTACCTTTTAAAATGCCCCCTCTACTCTTCCTTTTCATATTACTATCCTCTGCTCTCAAAATCTCCTTTCTTTACCCATCTGCTCCACCCCAAAGCATATACATCTCACCCTCACTTCTACCATCTCTCTACTACTGGCTTCAAGCATCAGATTCTGCTTCTCCCGCAGCATTTCCTATGGAGGCCTTCTCTGGACCCACTCACCTAGACCCAGTGGTCAGAAAGGAGGTGGAGTTGGTTTTCTTCTATCCCCACTGAGCACCTTTCAAGTCCTCCCTAACCTTCCCTCTGTATTCTTCTCTTCTTTCTAGACTCACTGCATTCGGCTGTTTTCTCCCATTTCTCTGAGGATTACAGTAATCTATCAGCCTCCTAGACCGGTGTTGCGCTTTCTTGATGACTTCTCTGCTTGGCTAAACTACTTTATCTCCTCTGAACTACCCACTATCATTCTTGGAGATTTTAACATCCCCATTAATGTTAACAACCCGGCTACATCCCAACTCTTCAACCTAACCTCATCTTTTGCCTTAACACAATGAACACAGTCCTCCACTCACTCTGATGGGAATACATTAGACCTTGTTTTCTCCCATCTATGCACTCCCTGCAACTTCACAAACACCCCCTTTCCTCTCTCTGATCACAATCTCATCACCTTTACAGTGTCCTCATCTTCAAACACTTATCCCTCCAAGCAGCAAACAATTACCTGCAGAAACCTTCACAACTTAAACCCTTCTCTTTTCCACTCTGCAACTGACTGCCTCTATGACAATATTTCTGCCCTGTCCTGCCCTGACCTGGTCACTGCTATCTACAACATTTTGCTTTCATCCAGAGACTAGACTCACTTGCTCCTCCAACTACACAAAGTATCAGGCCGCGATCATTACAACTGTGACAGACTGACGACACCAGAAATCTTAAGCGACATAGTCGTGCACGGGAGTGATTGTAGCGTAAAGCCAAATCTCAGCAAGCATTCACCTGATATAAATCTGCTTTCTTAACATACAATTCCTCCCTCCATGCTGCCAAACAAGCCTACTTTGTCACTCTTATTAATACCCTGTCATCCAGTCCTCATTGTCTTTTCTCTACTTTTAATGCTCTACTTTCTCCACCTCCACCCAGTAACTCACTCACTGCTTACAAGATTGCAAATAATTTCAAAAACAAGATTGATGCAATTCATAGGGGCATCACCACTACACAGACATCTATCCCAC